GAGTTGACGGGAACTCTTAGTTACTCTGCACCAGCCAGTGACCTAATATCGGAGACTACAGTCTCAAGCTGACAGTTTCCTAAGTGTAAAGACACTTTACAGGAAGAAAAAGTCTAATTAGGTTGGTTTGATTTGAAAGACAAAGGGACTGCTTAGGAGAACATTCTGCTTTTCTGTGACTGATGCTTTTCCTTTTGAAGTTACATTTCAGGGCTAAAAAAAGAACACAACACACTACTCAGTAATGAACCTATGTTTACCTGTTGAAATCGCTCTCAGGAGCCAGCTTTCAGTTTTTGTCTTAGGAGCTAGATAGGATTTAGAAGGGAGATTTTATACCTTTACTGATTTCCTTCCAAGAAGACAGATAGAGAGATGGAGATAGATGGTAGATAGATAGAGGGAAGGAGGCGGGGAGACATTGTTCTGGTGTTGCTTTGTGTACCATCCATTATTATGCCACAGTTTATCCTTTTGGGTTATTATTACAGTTTGAGGCTGTTAGAAATGCAGTTGTGAACATTCTTATATAGGTTCTTTTTTCTTTCAGTCTTCCTGCCATTCAAAAGTTTATGAATTTTGTGTTTGTTTACTTATTTTGTGTGTGTGTGTATGAGTATTGGCCTGTATATATGTCTGTGCACTACGTGGGAGCCTGGTGCCCAGAGGACAGAAGAGTGCATCAGATCCCCTGGGACTGGAGTTACAGTTGTGAGCTGCCATGTGGGTGCTGGGAATCCCTGTACCTTGTAAGAACAGAAAGAGCTCTTAACTGCTGAACTCTCTCTCTAGCCCCTCATAAGTCTTTGTGAAGGAAACAGGAGTTTTATTATAAGGTATAAGTACAGACTGTCTTAGTTAGGGTTTCTGTGGCTGCAATGAAACACCATGACCAAAAGACAAGTTGGGGAGGAAAGGGTTTATTTGGCTTTAGGGTTTACATATTGCTGTTCATCATCAAAGAATGTCAGGACAGGAACTCAAACAGGGCAGGAACCTGGAGGCAGGAGCTGATGCAGAGGCCATGGAGGGGTGCTGCTTACTGGCTTGCTCCTCATGGCTTGCTCAGCTGCTTTTTTATAGAACCCAGGACCACAGCCCAGAGATGGCCCCACCCACAATGGGCTGGGCCCTCCCCCATCAATTACTAATTAAGAAAATGCCTTAAAGGCATGACTACAACCAGGATCTTATAGAGGTGTTTTCTTGATTGAGGTTCCCTCCTCTCAGATGACTTTAGCTTGTGTCGAGTTGACATAACATTGTCCAGCACAACTGGCCCTTGTCAGATTGACACACAAACACATCACTGTAAAGCCACAACCTTTCCTTTCTCATTCATCCTCAAATCTCTCATTAAAAATATAAATAACTTATAAAATCCTACAGCCCTTACAAATTCAAACACATTAAAAGTTCAGTCTTTTTAAAATAGCCAATCTTTTTTAAAATCCAAAGTCTTTTAAAATTCTAAGTCTCTCAGCTATGGGCTCCAGTAAAATAAAAATACTTTCTTATTTCAAGAGGGAAGAACCAGGGAACAGCAACAATCAAATCAAAGCAAAACCATACTCCCAAAGTGTAGATAACTCAACATCCAATGTTGAGGATTCATTGGCATTCTTCTGTGCTCCTCCCAGGCTTTGCTCACTTCTCTGGCTCTGCCCTCTCCATCACACACAGCCTGTCTCCTGGCTCCACTCCACTGATGTTGCTGTTCTTTGTGTCATCCCAGGGCACCACCATCTCTAAAATCCTGGGTCTTCTGCTGCAACTGGGCTGCACTTTCACCAATGGCATTTCCTGGCCTCTCACAGCTGCTCTCCACGACCCCTTCACGCCTTCGAAACCGGTACCACCGGAGTGATTCTTACATTACCAAGTTCAACTGCCAGCACAAGGTACAACCTTGGCCACTTCTGGAATACAGCTTGTGTGTGCTGACCCTGAGCAAACATTTCCCAGAATATTTCACCTCAACAATGCTGGGCTCTTCTTAATCACCACTAATTTCTCAGCTCTAGCCAACCAGTATCCAGTATCCCAGCAAAGCAAAGGCTTTTCACTTTAGTATTTCTGGTCTCTCATTAATTGCAGTTGATTCTTTTCAACCTCAGATAGCAAGAACCAAAGAATCTTAATTCAAAACAATAAATGGCTTTGGTAGAGTCTTTAAACTTCTCTCTGAAACTTCACAGGCCAGGCCTCTGTCTCTGCTTTGCTCTCAACATTCTTATCTTCTAAGCTCCTACAGAACAGCTTACCAAGTGCTGAACAACTCAATGGCTTTTCTTGCACAAAGTTCCAAAGTTCTTCCACAATCCTCCCACAAAGACCATGGTCAGGTCTGTCACAGCAGTACCCACTCCTGGTACTGACTTGTCTTAGTTAGGATTTTTGTTGCTGCATATAAAACACCATGACCAAAAAGCAAGTTGGGGAGGAAAGAGTTTATTTGGCTTACACTTCCATATCACTGTTCACTATTGAAGGAAGTCAGGACAGGAACTCACACAGGGCAGAAACCTGGAGGCAGGAGCTGATTCGAAGGCCATAGAGGGAGGGGTGCTGCTTACTGACTTGCTCTCCATGGCTTGCAGGAGAGGCTGTTTTGAAACAGGATCTTGCTTATGTAGCCCTGGCTGGCCTTGAAGTCACAATGTAGCTCAGGTTAGCATCAGACTTGGGACAATCTTGTCTTGACCTGTCAGATTGCTGGAATTATAGGCATGAAGCACAATGCCAGGCCCCTTTTCTGTCCTTATATGGGTTTTGGGGTGTGGCATGGTGTCAGATACATTTTGAAGGGCAGGTGATGCAGTCCTGAAATCCCATCACTTGGGAATTGAAGGCAGACGGATCACTGAGATATCTAGGTTAGTCAGATCTATACAGGAAGTGAAGTCCAATCAGGGCCACATAGAGTGAGACCCCTTTCCAAACAGCAACAAAAGGCTGGGAGTTGTGGCCCCTTCTGTGCTACCAGTGCTTAGAAGGTAAAGGCAGGAGGATTAGAAGTTCAAGGTTATCTTTGGGTGCTCAGAGAATTGGGGGCATGCTCTAGGCCACATGACACCTTGCCTTTAGACAAAAGCCAAAATAAATAACGTTTATATGTTTAATTTACAAAATACATTTAATTTTTAGTTATATATATATATATATATATATATATATATATATATATATATAATTTTTTTTGAGACTCACTGTATAGCCCTGGCTAGCCTGAAACTTGCTCTGTAGACTAGGCTGACCTTAAACTCACAGAGATCTGCCTGTCAATGCCTCCCAAATTCTGGGATTAAAAGCATGCATCACTATGCCCAGCTAAATTGTGTATTTTTATAGTTAAACTTTTTTCATCATAATGTTTGTGTATTTATGTGTATCCACAGCATGCATATGGAGGTCAGAGGACAACTTCATGGAGTCAGTTCTCTCCTTCAGAGATTAAACTCAGGTGTCCAGGCTTGTTCAGGAGAGGCCTTTACCTCTGAGCCATCTCCTGGCCCAGACTTTTAAATTTTTCATATTAACTCTGTAAGTAATGCTTTAAGTATAAATTACTTTATAGGCCACATAGTGAAATCACTGATTTTAGGGTTCAGCCTAAAAATCTGCCTGCCTCTCTACGTGACTGATTGTGATGGTGACCCAACAGTTTTCAAGTTGGTTTACTCATGAGAGCTGTGTGTGTGTGTGTGTGTGTGTGTGTGTGTGTGTGTGTGTGTGTGTGTGTGTGTGCTTTCTGATAGAGCCCGGTGTCTGCCGCAGCATGAGCTGAGCATCCACACTCTTGTCTATTAGGTTTTGTTTAGTGCAGCAGCAGCAGCAGCCTGTTCACGATGGAATGCATCTTCAGGTAAAGGTTGGGGCTGAACCTCACCGCTTTCAGTTTCTGGAGGAGAAATTTCCTGGGAGGAGTCAGGGCCCCTGGAAGAGGTAAACAAGCAGGGACTGGAGGCTGTCTCTTCCATGACAGCAGTGCTGGCTGGCTTTCACATTAGTGTTAAGTTCAGCAGGGCTGGCAAGCCAAGCAGCTCCTTCCACTTCCCACTGGGTATAACAGTGTTTGGTGGCCTTTGTTTGGTTTCTATAAAAATTAGATTATATTGCAGAACCCCAGCTTTTGGTTTATATTTGTTTTACATAGTTTACAAAATGATATAAAGCAAGGTACCCAATTTCCTAATTATATAAATTTTCAGCACTTAAGAGGGGGCTGGGCCAGGGGTGTGTGGCTAAGGCAAGGCAAGGGCCTCTACCATTGTCCTCAATGCAGAAGAGAGCTAAAGACACAAGCTGGGTGGGGATGGGGGTCTAGTCTCGGAGAAACTGGCCAGTAGAAGTAAGGGTTTAATGGGAGAGAAAGCGACCTTTTAAAAACATTTTATTTATTTTGAGAGAGGGAAGAGGGAAGGGAGAGATATCGAGCATGTGACGAGTGAAAGTCAGAGGACAACTTTAGGGAATCAGTTCTCTCCTTCACCATGTGGGAGTCAGGGTTGGCAGCAAGGGCCTTTGCCTGCCCAAGTGACTTTTTTTTTCTCCTTTGAGGCAGGGTCTCTTGTCTCCCAGGCTAGCCTCCGATTCAGTTGTGTAGTAGCTGAGAATGTTTGAGTTTCTGATCTTCCATCCACACCCTGAGTCCTGAGGTTATAGGAGCAAGCCTGCTGGCTAAGTTTTGTATGGTCTTAGGGATTGATCATTTGTACACGCTAGTTGAACTACCTGCTAAGTACTAAGCCATATCCCATCCCAGGCCATAATTTGTTTAGAGGTTTTTGTTTTGTTTTGTTTTTTGAGACAGGATCTCATGTCTCTCAGGGTGGTCTTGAATTCACAATTAAACTCGGGATCTTCCTGCTCTACCTCTCAAGTGTTGGGGTTACAGATATGGGTACCATATCCGTGAGAAGGTGACTCTTGGTTCTTATGCTTTCATCATGGATAAATTTAAAAATCTGTAGTTAATCCAGGAATTCTTTGGGAGTGCCCAGGGGAAAGCATCCCAGCTAGCTTTGTCTTGCTGTCAATACTCAGCTAATACTCAAAGATCAGTACCTCACTCAGCTATCACTAGAGAAACTTCCTCCTTCAGCAGATGGAACAAATACAGAGATCCATAGTCAGACGTTATGCAGACAGTGAGTGGCCTTGGAACACTCAGCTCTAAGTGGGATATCTCTATCAAATCCCTCCCCTCAGAGCTCAGGGAATCCTGCAGAAGAGGAGGCAGAAAGAGTGAAAGAGCCAGAGGGGATGGAGGGCACCAAGGAAACAAGGTCATCTAAATCAATGGGATAGACTCACATATGAACTTGCAGAGACTGAGGCAGCATGCACAAGGCCTGTATGGGTCCTAGAGCTGAAAGGAGAAGTGGACACACTCCCCCATCCCTAACCCAGATGCAATTGATAACCACTTGCAAATGAAAATTTAGTTTCCTTCAAGGGAGCCTTACTGGAGAAGGCTGCGTGCCCAGCAGTAGATGGTCAATGGAATATGAACTTAATGATGTCTTTGGAGGTTTCTTGTCTCATAATGTCCTGTCAGAGCTCTTCCTTTTTTAAAATTAAAAAATTTAATAATTATATATAATAAATTAAAAAAAATAAATATTAAAAATATATTTTATATTTACAAATTTAAAATATATCCTTTCTTTTTAGCCTATAGGTCCTTTGCATATATATTATGGCTTTCAGTTGAGTGTTTTTATGGGATTCCTGAGTATGTGAACAAGTGGGTCTTTGTTTCTGTGCCTACTCTTGAGCTTTTTTCTTCTGTTTGTTTGTCCAATTTCAATGTGTTAGTTTTTGTTTTATCTTATTATCTTATCTATCTTATATTATTACCATCCCATAGACACCTGTTTGTTTTTTACTGAGATACAGAAAGTGGGAGGAGGTGGGGAAGAACTGGGAGGAGCAGAGGCAGGGGAACCGTAAGTAGGATATATTATGTGAGGAAAAAAATCATTTCAATAAAAGGAAAGAAAAAGAAAAAGAAAAAGAAACCTCAGCCAACTGACAGAGGAAAGGGTGACTTGGGCTCTTGTTGGTTGTGATTTCAGAACAAGTGGCTCCAAGGTTTGGAACTCTCGGTGAGGCCTGTGATGGAGTGAGCTATTTACCATCTCATTCTGGAAGCAGAAAACAGAGACCTGGGTTCCACAACCCACTTTGAGGGCAGGCCTCCCAGGGCCTGTGTACTTCCTGTTGAACCCTGCTTCTTAATGGTCTCAACTACCCAACAGTACCAACCCTGGGGACTGAGCATTTAAACACGTAGAGGACAGTCATCAGAGCCAGATCAATACCAATTAGCTGGTTTACAATGTCTGGTTTAGCGGTTTGTTTGTTTGTTTGTTTGTTTGTTTTTTTGTTTGCTCTGACAAGGTCTCATGTAGCCCAGGCTTGCCTTGAATTCCTGATGCTCCTGTCTCCATCTCCTGAGTGCTGGGCTTACAAATTCATACTGCCCAGCCTGGTGCATGCTGTGCTGGCTGGACAAGCACTGCACCAACTGAGCCATACCCCCAGCGCTGGACCACAGGGTTGTGTGTTGAGCTGAATTTGGTTAGAGCCCCATCACATTAGCACTGACAAGCACCCATATTGTCTTTTCTCACCCTCTAAACACCAGGTGTTGTTTTCTCACTTGGAACTGTGGTCATATCTCCAGTGCTCAGGTGGCAGCTGTTCCCCAGGGCCTCTTGTATGGTGACATTTATCTAGCTTCCCAGTCACGGAGGTGCAGCTGCTTCAGGCCACAGGTGTCTTTTCCATTTGTGTGTTCAATGTCACATCACTGCAGGGCAAGTTGGGAGAAGCCAACCAGACAAGTCTCTTTGCAGATCCCAGATAACAAATTCTTGAGATTTTTAAATGGTTA